AATTATTTAACTGGAAATAAATAAATAAATAAAATAAATAATCTCAAAAATCTCAAAAATATCAAAAATCTTAAAAATAACTCAATTTTGGTTGGACTTATTGATATGGCCAACTTTGTGTTGCCTTTAATTAGCACATCTGCATATTAAACTTTTTTGATTGGGCTTATTGATACGGCTAACTTTGTACTGCCTTTAATCAGTGTATTTGTACTAATATTACAAACATTTCTCATATGAAGGGTAGCTATCTCCATGATAAATATCACGTCTTTACATCATTTTTAATGTAGATGTCAAAAGTGACGTATGTTATACAAAGTATGTATAATATATAATATGATGTATGCTATATAATGTGCCATATGCCATAGTATGTGACATATAATATATTCAAATTATTATACACATCATATGATTTTTCAAAATTTTCTAACTTTAAATCGAGATAAAAAAACTTGATAAAAAGATATTGTTTAGTCTAATAGATAAAGTCAAAAAAAGTTCATGAAAAAGATACAGACTAGCAAGTGATATCTCTGAGTTTGAATCAGAAAAAGAGATTGAAATAATAACTATTATGGCAACAGATACTTCCAACTCACAAATTTCATTTATTACGCATTCAAAAACAAATCAAGACAATATAACTATTACAATAGCAGATACTTTTAATTCACAAATTTCAACTATTACACATCTCAAACCCAACTAAAATAATGTATTAAGAACTAAAGTTAAATCATGGCAATTTTCTGAAGTATGAGATTACTTTATTAAAGGAATGGAAAGAAGCAATAGATATTATGAAGCTAAATACAGTTATTGTGAAAAAAACTGGGCAAGAGGAAAACCAGCAAAGTTAGAGACACATTTAGCTAATGAATGTGCTAGTTCTCCAGATGATATATCACAATATTAGCAAGACAAAGTAGCTGAAAGAGATTCAAATTACCATTGAATGTCAAAGAAATCTGTTTTGCCAACTTCAGCATCACAAACAACAATAACATCTTATTATATCTCTGACCGCCCATTGTCAAATATAACTATTAATTAATTGGATCAAAAAATAATCAAAGCTTGGATAATAGCAGGAATTCCTTTTGATGTTATTGATAATCTATTTATTTGAGATATGTTCCAAGAATTTCAACCTGCATACAATCCATCATCAAGAATAACTTTGTCAAATCAGTTATTAGATGAAGAATTAGCATGAGCAAATAGAATGATTAATGATGATTTGAATAAAGCAGATTATTTGACTTTAGGTTAGTATTATAAAAAAATATTTAACTAAATTAATATAATATTAATTTATTTTTTAATAAATAAAGCCTTAGATGGATGGATAATACCAACAATGGAGTCAATTTACAACTATCTTGTTACAACAGATATTCGAAAAGAATACTTGATTAGTTTACGAGATTACTCAGATCAATCTTATATGAGTGAATTTCTAGCCAATGAAATATCAGATATTATTGAACAACTCAGTTCAGAAAAATTTGCAGCTATAGTAACAAATACTGTCTCAAATTGTAATGTTACGTGATGAAAAATACAAGAAATGTATCCATATATTTGGAATGTCCAGTGTGCTACACATGCAATCAATCTTATTGCTGCTGATTTAGTTCAATTAGAAAGCGTGAAAAAATTAATTAATAATTGTGGAAGAATCAATCACTTTTTCAAAACTTCCTACTCAAGTCATTCATTACTTACTAAAGGATTTGTGAATATGAAAATTAAGAATGATGAACTAAAAACATGGGTGAAAACTTATTAGGGATCTTTATATTTGACTACTGATTCAATACTTCGTGCATAATCTGTATTTGATTAGGTAAGTATATATTAATAAAAAATATATTATAAATTATTATTAACAAAATAAATTTTATTATTAGATACTTTCCAAATATAATAATCTGATTAATGAAGACATTAGTAACTTGTTGACTGATGAAGACTTTTTTATTACGTATCAGTTGGTGCATTCAGTATAGCAACCTATCAAGGAAATTATTCATATGTTAGAAGCTAATGATACGATATTGGCCAATTATTTTTTCTATCTAATCAAGTTGACTGTAGTAATTTATTACCTATCTCAAACAAATATCTTCAAGATTCTAGCTATCCATATTTTCAATTGACATTATGAAGAATTTTTGCATCCTCTTTATATTTTGGCATATTATATTCATCCACAATATAGAGGTAAGAAATTAATTTAATTAGAGATTAGTTTGCTATTACAATGATTAATTTTATTATTATAATTAAATAAAATATTAATATTTGGTTAATTTTTAGAAAAAGGCTTGAAAGATAGTGGGTTTCAACAGGTAGCTCTTATCTCTCTTGAGCTTTGACAAAATCTTGGACATACTCGATCAGAAAGTGAAGAGCTAATAGCCTAATTATGACATTTTGAAACACAATTACCATCATTTGACCTTCCGTATATTTTAAATATAGATACTCCAAAAATTTGGTAGAGTTCTTTCAAAAATCAGCCTCAACATTTAGCTGAGTTGGCATACAGGATTTTTTTAATTAATCCTATGCAAGCAAGTTGTGAAAGAAATTTCTCAATACTAAAATGAATCTTGGAAGAATGATAAACAAACTTGAGTCTAAAAAGATTAGAAGGAATGACTAAAATTAGATCATATTACATGAGTAACATTTGACATGAGCTAAGCTTTTTTGGTAAAGAGTTGACTGAGATTGATCTTTAGAATGCATGTAATGTTATATTAATTAGTAATGTTATGAGTTATGAAGAGAGTCAAATAGGAGTTAGCAAAAATTTATTAAGTAATGTAGCATTTAATAATTCTGCAACCTTACTAATTGGAGAAATTATTGATTTAGAGAGTGAACAAAGTTTAGAATCTTCTAGAGTAGAAACAACTGAAATTATTACTTCTGTTGATCTTGATTATGATCTGCATGATGTGTTAGATAGCTTTTTAGAATGAGAAAATCAAAATAATAGTTTATAAATATAGTTTAAATTGACTATTTATCTCTTGTCACTACTTATTACTCATATGTCATATTACTTATAGTGGCTTTGAAAAATTAATATGATCTCATCATGGTACCTCTGGAAAATTAATATGATCTCATCACAGCACCTCTGGAAAATTAATATGATCTTATCACAGCACCTCTAGAAAATTAATATGTCCTACATCAAATATCACATCATACATCACATGTCACATCCTTCATGTCACGTCAATATAACCTCAAGGGTAGTGTGTCATCTATGTCATAGTCGCAAGTGTCATATGTCATGACTACCCTAGTAAATGTTTGCATCATTAATTTGCACATTAAACTAAAAAAACTAAAAACTAAAAATCTTTAAAAACTTGAAAAATTTAACACTTAAAAACTAAAAATC